ACAACGATGGAGACGAGAGAGGAAATTATAGTGTTTTTAGTTGGACATCTCGAAGTCCCTTAACAACGATGGAGACGAGAGAGGAAATTATAGTGTTTCTAGTCGGCAGATGTCGTACTCGTTCCCTCGTGTGGCTTAATATGGGGCCTACAATAGTTGAATAAGGAGAGTGAAATACGAGGTTGACCCAAATTACACTTAGAGGGGGGTAAATAGGTGAGTATGCGGAATTAAAAATTAATTACCATAGTTATATGAAAACAACAAATAACACACAGAATGATCACGGAGAAACTCCAACGTGGTAAAAGCTATGGGCACTTTGCCAGTAAAAAATCCACCATAAACGAATTTTGAACTTACAGTCCGTCAAACACGACTACCACTAGTACTTTCTGACCACTTGACTGCAATTCCCACAACCATCCTGGATTGCGTGCTCCTGCACCAACTTCTGACTTTATGAATTCGTTTATCTCATGTGAATCAACGAAAAACTCCGCGTTCTCCAATAACAGGAACTCCAGTTACCTTTTCTTGATCTTCAGAACACTGACAGATGTTTAGAAATTAGCAGTTTGGTATTTGGATTATATGGTTTTGATGTTTTCACCTCCAAGAATAAAATCAAATTGGGAAAGTTGAAAGCTTATAGATGATTTTGATGAAGATGATACGAAGCAATATGTGTTTTCTCAATGTTCAACCTTTAAAAAAATCGTTTAAAGGCTTTCTGGTATTTATACTGTAGGTTTAGGGTTGAATGAGCCGGACAAAAAATATTAAAAAAGCGAATTAAAATTCTCTGGATGACCCTGTTGCTCGAGCGAAGGCAATGCGACAGACAGCGCGACAATACCTTAGGTATGAGAAACCCCACAAACTTAATTGCTCGAGTCAAATAGGTTTCGAATAAGAACATAAGATATTTGATTTTTTATTACCGGGGATAGCCGTAAGCTTATGTCTAATAATAAGGTTAATTCATGCTCAAAGTCACCTTAATAACATGTGATTGCCATCACAAATCTCATACACGCGGTAGAGTCCTACTAATAATATCATAGTTTGTGCAGTGCAGATAGTACATAAAGACACATATACTAATTACTCCAAAATAACCTAAGCCAACAATGAAAACTATGTTACAACTTATCGATTAAACTCATGCTTGATCACACCAAACAAATTCAAGTATATTATATGTTATGCTGTAAAAACAATTTCCCACATTTTTATTTTTCAATGTTTTATTATGTTTTGTTTTTATTTTAAGTATGAATGCACCAAGTACACACAATAAAATGTCAAACACAAAAAAAATAATAAATAAAATAAAAAATATGTATGAGTTCTCTTTCTAGAAAACAAATAAACAAATATGATACATGCATAATTCAATGTCACACAATGCTAAAGTACGAGCATGCGCAAAAGTACCTAATCAACGATGTACATAAACACCAATAGCCGTCCTAAGAGATTCAAACCTCAGACCATCTAATAGTTTGGTAAATAAATCAGCTAATTGATTTTCTGTAGAGATGTGCTCAAGAGTTATAACACGAATCTCTACAAGCTCTCAAATAAAATGATGTCGTATATCAAAAGTAAAGACTAATAATTAGATTGAGTGATCTAAGTTGACAATAAATGATCTAATTATTAGAGTTTGGATAATATATGTCCGATCAGGTCCTTATAGTAGCTCTATAAAGTATTGAGACTTAATTATAGTAATTATAATAGTTTTGGGCTTCACTATAATTACAATAAAGTTATGTACTTAGTTGTAATTGCTATAAAAGTTGCAAACTTAATTATAGTTGTAATTGAAGTTCTAGGACTACACATTTAATTAAAGGTAAAATAATTAGATGTAGACTTTAATTAAAATTTCTATTTGAAATTGAAATTATTATTGTAAATGGATGGAAATATCTTTATCTCTATAAATAGAGACTAGATGGACATAGTGTTGGGTTTTAATATCCAATAAATCTAGACGATTATGTAAAATCGATGTTCGATAAGTTATATCGACACCTTAGTGATGGCTCGACCCGTAAACAACTTGGGACCACTAGAAGCAACTTAATCGAGTTAATGTTACTCGTGGCTCAACACTGGTGGATGGTCCAAATTATTGGGTTGGATGGTGATTTCATTAGTCCATTTCTTGTTGGATAGTTGTGGTCTTTATTGGTGGCCCAATTAATGTCTTGGTCCAATTGGTGTGATCCAATATTCATCCTATATATATCTATTTTCTTGGTTAACCTAGAATGGGTGATTTGTAAAGGCCTGAGAGGAAAAATCAGCTGCTCCTTGGTGAAGAAAACATGCAGCCTTAAGGGAGAAAATCCAGCCAACTTGGTGCTTCAAAAACCGGTGATATACTCTGTGTATTGGTCTCTTCCTTGTCTCCTTT